ACTTCTTGTCCTCTCTGTGAGTGACACTCAAGACCTTCCCACTTCCCTTAAACATTCTCTTCTATTTACCAGTGACATGCAACTCCCACGTGGACTTTGGACAACCTGAGATAACGCCTGCCCTGTGCTTGGCTGTGCAAAGCTATTTGTTCCCCTGCGGCGTTATTATGGGACTCCAGGTCTGAGACACAGACTGATTCAAATTCTTCTAATTCCCACTTTCACTAGAATATTCCAGGCTACATTAAAGACCATAAAACACCTCTTGTGGTATCAAATGCATCAGAACATTCCTTCAGTCTAGAACCGTGTGTCAGGAAAGCCAAAAGAAAATATTTAAACTAAGAACTCTTTTCATAGAGGCCCTGCAGCAAGGAGGAAGCTCAAAGGATTTTGGCCCTTGCTTCCCATGGCAGCCTTAGAAATGCCAGCTGAGGCCACACAGCCTGACAGCTTGTGTGGAGAACCTTGCCTATGGTTTTGGTGGGTGTTCCCTTCACAACAGAAATTCTGACTTCTTAAACCAGTTGCTTCTTAAGCAGTTTGCTTATATTTTATGGACAGGCTGTACAGTAAGAAAACCCTGATAGACATTAGGAGCTAAAATGCCTTTGCCAAAACCCAATCCAGATTTAAAGTACCATGAGCTCTAGGCTCATTTAAACCACCCAGAAAGAAGTTTTCTCTACCAGGTCAAATTAATGGCTGTAATGAAAAAAACAACCTACACAAAGTCACTCGTCTGCATCTTTACAGAGAGGCTATTGAAGTATGTGCTCAGTTAAGTATTTAACACAACACTGCCTCACCACCAAGCCTTTCTTAGTATCTTAAAATACATTCCTTTAAATTAATGGTAAAACACATCTTCTTTGCTTAAATAGCCTCATGTTGGGGATGAGGGGTATTAATTTAACTAAACTAGGAATTCTGCTTTTAGTGCTTTCCAATGGACCCAGTTTCCAAAGAAAATATTTTTCCCTGAAAGGCTAACAATTTTCATTTAATGGGGAAACTTGGGCTGCAGAAAACAGTACTGTTAATTGGGGGGAGGGGGTTCTCATTGTAAACCCCACTCTGATAAGCTGCCATCTGCTGCTACTAGCAGGAAGTGTAGTCATGAGAAATTCTAACTTTACTGGGATTTAGTAGCGATTAGGGTTGTCTCATTACTTCCCAAAAGTGTGCAAGACTTTCTTCTCACTGTGGAGTTGTATACAAACTATTTCATTCAAATAGCATTCTTCACAGTAGAAAAAAAGTGCATTTTGTATGATGGACTTTTCAATGGTGGGTTTGTTTTGGTTTTTTTTTTTGAATTCTACAAGTTCTCTTTCTCTTTGCTTCATAAAGTGCTGTGATACAAAGGTGCCCTGGCCTTTGGCTTGGGTTGGCAGTGCTCTGTGCTATTGCTCATCTGCTTTGCCGAGGGACACTTCTTTAATTGCAAGAAAGCCTCTGGGGTTGTTTGAGCTGGTCTCCCACCATTGCTCCAGCCTTTGGTCCTTGTCCAGAGGCTTGTAAAAAAACCAGAACTGAAGCACAGCAATTTGTTCCCAGCTGTCTGCTCTCGGACTGGGAAGCTCAGTGTACATTTGGTGTGTTCGCAGGTGGGAAGCTCCTCTTGATTTGCTGAGTGGGAGGAGCTTCGTATGTTCAGGGAATATCCCTGCCCCAAAATGGGACTGCAGCTGACTGCTCCCTGTTCTGTGCTGGGTGACCCATCCAGCGTTGCTGGGTGCTGGTGTAAGCGCTGTTCTCCAGCTCCTGGTGTTGAAGAAGCCATTCTGTTGGGCTTAAGTGACAAGGACCCTGCAGGCAAAGGCCAGCTGGCAATGGACAAATAGACTTCATTAGTAGCTGTGCGATCACACTGGAGTGCCAGCTCACCTGGGCAACTCCTGAGGGAAGGCTGTGGCGTGAGTGTCACCAGAGCCACAATTTGGGAACGTAATCGAGGCCTTCACAAGATGCACATCCAGCTCTGCTGTGCCATCTGCCTTTAGCAATCTGATGAGTGTGTGCAACAGTGTGTGCCCCAGGAGCAGGGGGGTGGTGACAAGGGGGTACCGTGCCTTCAGGGTTACCTTCACCATAACTTTGTAAGGCTCTGAGTGCTCAGGCCTGATGGGATGTGATGGGCAAAGGCCACTGTGTGAAAAAACACCCCCCTCCTCTGAAGGCCATGGTTTTTGGAGTACAAAGCAGTTGGTCAGAGATAAGCATTAAAGGGCAGAGGGGTGGACTTTATCATCAGCAGCTGACAAGTGGGAGGTGTGTCTTCAAATGCAACGAGAGGAGAGGGCAGAGTCCTGCTGTGCATTAATCTATGACATGTCCTGTGTTTCAGGGTGGTGCAAAGTCAGATGCCTGGATTGGGTGTGAATCCAGGAGCCACGTCCAGCTGCAATGAGGAAACAGGAGGGTGCACAGGTGTGGAAGGGGCCAGGCAGGCTGACAAGTAAGTAGTAAGGAGGTCAGGAGAGCTTTGAAACTGAGATGCTCAGGCTGCATGTGTGTATACCCAGAGGTGGATTATTCCTGAGTGACTGATCTATGATGCACCAGGGTGGCAATGTGATTCCTCCAGGCATGCCTGATAAAAGATCTGGCCCTGCCTTGCACAGTGGGCTGGAGATGGGTTTCATCCTGTCCATTGCTTATTTCACCAGCACAAAACCTGGAAGATGAGGCTTTCTGTGGGTTAAAAGAGTGTTCATTACCACAAGCAGTGACTGACTGCTTTTAAAGTGTGGTGTAGGAGCTATGCAGTATTACCAATATTAACAGTTCTAATATCACTAAGGTGATAAACCAGAGTGAATGCACGATGGATCCAGTATGGAAAGTTTTTTCTCAGTTTCAGACTTCCTGACAGTTGCCTTGTAATTTAAAAATTGGAGAAAGTGGCTTATCTGTGTCATCTCAACTGGCAAGCAACCAGTGGGCACAAAATTAGGTCATGACTTATTTAGTTCAGCAGCCTAACAACACTGCTAGGGAGAGAAAAGGGCTCTGAAAAAGATGACAGCGAGGTCTGCAACAGTGTGCAGAAAAACAAAGTACCACTTAGGTTTGCATCACAGAGAAAGGTCATGGAAAGGCTGTAAAATGAGAATCCCAAGGCAGCACTATCCCAGCAGCACGGAAGGGGAAAAACCTTATCCTTTGGAAGCTGCAGGTGTCTGTGGAGAAACAATATGCTCCCACCAGACAGCTTTAGTCAGCTCACAAACTTCTTTCATTCGGGGTTCCTTCCATGAAGTTCCATGTACAGGAAGGCTCCATAATCCCCAGCTGGATTGAAGGGGAAGGGAGGTACACAGAATTCCTTCTGCTGCGGGGGAGTCCTGGAGGGCCCTCGAGGTGCCCATGCCAATAGCTCAGAGGCCACTTCAGAGTTGAATTTCTTATGAGTTCAAGTTTGTGTTGTCCTCTCAGAGAGGAATGATCATTGACAGGACACTGCCTTGGTTTACTGAGCTCTTTCCCCTGTAAAAAGAGAAAACCTAGCTGGGAAAAGGCTCCAGCCTTTTGTGGCCACAGAGTCAGGCAGAGCAGCTTCCCTTCTGCAGGAAAGAGTTCCTCCCTCAAATAAACCCGGAGCAAAGCGGAGACCTCAATTAGTGCTTGAGCAAGGACTCGAGGCATTCCCTGGCACGCGTGTTATGCAAGGGTCAGGTTCTGCTGCCCTCATTCCCGTTCCTCCCCGAAACTGCAGCCATTTAGGCACATGCCTCAAATCCATGAGCAGTCCCACCTACTGCTGTGGTCTGCTCCAAAGCCTCCCCCTCACACAGAGCCAGCAGCCCTGGTTTCACTGGTCCTACGGCTGGGGTCACCCAGCAGCAGGAGCACTAACCAGGGAGTGATGGATCTCTGCCTCATGAATCTTAGCTCTCTTCCTGCCTTCAAAGAGGATCTATAGGAGAGCCAGGTTAGGTGCAAGATTAACTTATTGCATTTTTGATGCTTTAGAAGCTCATTTATGCTAAATCAGAAAGCAGAGTACATTGTAGGACCCACGTAATCCAGTGATATTCCTAAAGACAGCTTGTTATTTGTAAGCTCTGAGGAATGACTGCACTGGATATCTCTTCACTGCACTTGGCCCCCCAGTCCCACCTGCTCCCATCACATGAACACCTAATAGGCAATTTGGGGCTGGGGTCTCTGGGAAAATGCAGCTCTGGTTATGAACCTGCCTTCCCCCTGCAAGCCTGGGACCCGTACTGCAGCCCAGCTCCATTTCTGCCCAACAGCCACTCCTGCTGCAACACTTTCCATGCCCAGGCATGGGAACAGGGCTCTAGCCACGGTGTGGGTACCACTTCCTAGTCCTGTGGTGTAAGGAGAGTGGCTGGAGCTGCAGGAATGAGGGAGTGGCATCCATGCTGCTGGGCAGCCCTGGGCAGTTGTGGAGGGAAGCAGGGCTGTGATGCTGCCCTGCATTCCTTTGGGCATGGGCTGGTGGGCAAGGTGGCCTGGGAAACACCTTTCCCTACTCCAGGCTCTCCCACTGCCACCCTCTGCCCCAGCCAGTGGCTCTCTGAGGACTCTTGCTGGAAGGCTGGATCTTGATCAGCTGCATTTTTAAAAGCGGGACTCATCCTTAATCTGCTGGGATTAAATAGGGATGGAGTTTTACCACTCTCCAGAATTTAGGTGGTGTAAACAAGTGTTTTGCAAACACCAGGACCAACAATAATCTGTCTCTGTCAGCAAAAGCAAGCGCTCCACCCTGCTTGGGGCCAGGCTTGAGCTTCACCCCAGACCCATGATCCCACTAACTGGTGACCGTGGCTGCACCCAGCAGCTGGTGCCAGCCCCATAGGCAGCAGAGGAGTTGATTCCCAAGGGTTCTGCCAGCTTTCAGCACAGTTACTGCATCCTCTCACGGGTAGAAAAGCAAGAAATGGGAGGGAGGGCAGAGAGGCTTAGACAACGGTTCATTGGAATAATTTAAAAGTACATTCTGCAAAAGGTTCAGTCTGTTTCACAGCTTTTTTCTGCCTGCATGGCTTCCTTTCGCAGGATGGCCCCCAAGGTCCCGTCTCCACTGGCAGGGGATGCCAGGGAGCCGTCTGTCAGTCACTCTCGCTGCTGGATCTGTGGGATGCTGCCCCACGGCCATGCTGAATCTTGAGGCAGGAGGGCAGCGCTGCCCTGCCAGTGGACAGCGAGACCTTGCTGACAGAGGACACGCTGCGGGCCAGGGGCTGCGTGGGGAACATAATTACGCCACGGGGTGCCTCCAGGAGCTGCCAGATCTCCCCCGAGGTGGAGCCGCCCAGGTATTCCCAGGGCCGGCGCCCGCTGCTGTCCCGCACCTGCACCTGGCAGCCGAGCTGCAGCACCAGCACCTTGATGACAAGCTGGTGGCCGTGTATGGCAGCCAGGTGCAGCGGCGTGTACCCGCAGCCCGAGCGGGCGTCCACGTCCAGGGCCAGCCCCGCCTGCCGCGCCGCCGCCGCCAGCTCCTGCAGGCCGGGCCCGTCGCCGTGCTTGGCCAGCCAGTGGAGCACCGTGAAGCCTGACATGAAGTCCCGCAGCAGGGCCAGCTCCGGCTCTTCCAGGAACAGCCCCCGCACGCGTGCCCAGCACCCCGCTGACATCGCCACTAGCCAGGCGTGCTCCCGCTGTCCCAGTGGCACCGATGGCCCCCGGCTTAGGGCATTTCTAGAGGAGCTCTTGGAGAGCGCGGTGCGGGGCTGCCGCCCACAGTCCTCGGGCAGCGATGGGAGCGTGCTCTGCACCTCCGACAAAGCGAGCTGGCACCTGATGCTCCTGAAGACAGGCAGCGGTGCTGGGGGACAGCTCTCTGGGGCTTGGGGCTCTACGGGGCCCTGTGCTGGCTGCAAGGACTGGGATGGAGGTGGCCTGGAAGGCGGTGGCTGCAGGGAGCGGGATGGAGCTGGCTGAGTGGGGGAGCGTAGCAGGGATTGGGATGGCGGTGGCTTGGTAGGGGGTAGGACACCAGGACCTGATGGCAGTGTGAGGGTTTGGCGTGGGTACAGCAGCACGACTTGAGGTTGGGTTGGTCCGTTCGGGGTCAGCCCCCTGGATCCCCTCGGCAGGGCTGGGGATGGCCTGGTGGGCAGCTGCTGCAGGGACCTGGACTGTGATGGGGGCAGCCTGGTGGAGGGAAGCACCCCTGGGCCTGATAAAAGTGGGGATGAGGAGGGGCTGGCAGGGAGTGCCTGCAGGGACCGGGACAGGGGCAGCACCCCCGGGGCGGACAGCAACGCCGGAGACCGCGATGGGGGCAGCTCGGTGGGGGACAGCGCCCTGGGACCCGATGACAGCTGCGGGGACTGAGAGGCTCCGGTGGGGGGTGGTCCCTTCAGGCTTGCAGAGGGCGCTGGGGCCTTCAGTAGGGGCATCCTGGTCGGGGGCTGAGGCACCCCCGGGCCCGACGGCAGCGGTGGGGACCGGGAGCGGGACGGTGTGGCAGAGGGCGGCCCGGCGGCAGGCAGCGGCGGCGATGGGGAGCGGGGCGGCACAGCGGGGGCCAGCGCCCCAGGAGCCGAGGGCAGCACTGGGGGCCGGTAGCGCGGTGTGCCGCCGGGGCGGAGCGCCCAGGGCCCGTAGGACAGCGGCTGGGTCCGGTACGGGGGCGGCTGCCTGGGGGGCGGCGGGGAGAGGGACCGGGGCCGTCGGGCGCCGGGCCGCGCTCTGCCGCCCCGCTCCCCATCGCCGCCGCTG